CAGTACAAGCCAATTCTTAATCCCACAAGTCATTACACGGGAAAAAGATGGCCACAAATGCAAGGTTATAACCGTACATTGGCTGACCAACGCTATACGATAACTTTCATACCCACAAGCAAAGATGGTATGTGGTACAGGACACTATTCAGTATTATGGAGGTACCATTGATGAAGAAGCATTTTGTTATGATTTCTGTGCTACTATTCAAGATCCAAGGCTTATCGAGACTGCCAATAGAAGCAAGCATGTTGATCACCCTGACCACAATAATTATATTAAAAGCACTGAGCACTGTGTCTTCCTGGCACAAGTAAGGTGTCTCCCAGTATTTTCACCCACCGGTGCCTGACACAATACCATCCCTCCACTGCCTGTCCATATCAACCTAAACCAGACAGGAAAAGCTGGCAGACCTTTGACAAATTTCTTCAAAGCATCTCCACCGGCCCCGTCTCTAACAGGATTTTGGCATCTGCTTATCGGCTGGGCAATTGGCTTCCTCCTCACTCTTGTCATGGCGTGTGGAAGGCCTATCTGTCCACGGATAATTGCATCTGGATGTCGCCAAGTCCAATCAACTGGGAGTCCCATCCAGTGGTTCTAACCAACATAGGACCACCACAATCACCACGTGTCTCTGCTAAATTCCCTCCTGGCAACCAGATCCCTGTTCTAACCTGGACGACCAAAACAGATGGTTTTCAATACAATCCAACCAGTGTCCGCCCTTTTCTAACTGACAGCATACCCCCCACTGCTGCTCCCTGTACATGGCCGAGCATCTTACGCAGACTAGTTCCTTGGCAGCACCAGCTCCTGCCGTCAGCAAAATTTGAAACTGATTTTTCATTGACGATGGATATATTCACTTCTGGCATCCCTCTTCTCATGGTTTCTGATGGGTCTGGCAAAGATGGTTGTATGTCCTTTGGCTGGTCTCTACCCACTATAGCTGGGGATAGAATTCCCCTTGCCAATGGCCCCTGCTTTGGCATTGAAAGCTCTCTTCAAGCTGAGGCTACAGGCTTATTATCAGCGAGTCTCTTTATCACCCTGCTAGTTTTGCACCTACGCCACCGCGCACCCGAGAATAGTGCCGATGACGATAGTTCCTCTAGCTCATCATCCTCTTCCGATGCTTCTCCTATTTGCCCTACATGGGTCACTTTTGTCAGCAACAGCAAGGCACTCATCATTCGACTCCAATCCAGATGTGAATATACAGAGGTCTATGCTAATGCTACCCTTGCACCAGAATTTGACTTGATTGAATAGATTTTTCAGACCCTTCAGATTCCTTTCCTCACATACTCCTTTTCTTGAGTGAAAGGCCATCAGGATGACAACATTGACTTTGATTGCCTCCCTCTGACAGCCCAACTGAATGTTGAAGCCGATGGTTACGCTGGAGATTTTCAAGCCCAGATGACTACGCCAAATTTTATCTCACCAGTGCTACCTTCCTGCCCAGCCATTCTCCAGATCCAGTCTCACTCTGTTACCAGCCATTATAAGAGAGCTCTCACAGATTCTTGTTTAATCCCCCAATATCATACATATTTGAGGGATAAGAACCAGTGGCCCCGGCGAGTCATTGCTGACATTGCTTGGAAATCTCTGAGCATTGCCATCCACCGTATTTCCAGAGACTTCTTGGTCACTAAATGTTGCAACAATATTCTACCCACTGCCACAGTTCTCAAACGGTCTTTGCCAGTCGCCTGAAGATTCCGAACCTCTCTTTTGCTGTTCCCACCCATCACGCATCAACTGGCAGAGACAGACTATCACCTCTCTACGACAACGCATGTCCACACTTGGCTTCCGACCAATTGTCACTGATAATCTAGCTACATGTCTTACCGAATGGTTAGACACTGGAACCGTTTCTCCAGAGAAATATCCTACATCCCTTCATCCCATTATTCATTTTCAGAGTGAAATTGGTTGGCACCACATGTTTGCTGGTCACATTTTGCTCCAGTGGTTTAATGATCTTGATCTTCATTCTGGCTCTTACTCCCCGTGTGTATTAGGAGGTTATCTTGTCAAGTTCTTTCTTACCTCATATATATCATTATGAGAACAGCAAAATGAAGATCTTCATGGTTCCACACTTTCTCAGAAGCAAGCAAAGCATCGACAGAGAGTGGTGATGAAAGTTCGGACCTTATTTGCTTTAAAATCATCTCAAACATGTCTGTCCCATGCCCACCTATTCCCAGAAAATATGGAAGCCTTCTTAATGCAAACCCCTACCTCCATGCTCTCTTATTATCATTGAGCCTACAAGAAAACAATTCTAGCAAGTGTCTCTCAAGCTACAGGTGCTTCGGTCTCCAACACTTGCCCTATTACCCAGTACTTTCCCCCATTGCTTCATAGTAAACAACCACCGGAGAGCGTCACACAAGATAGGCTGATCTTTGACGCGTACTCCAAGAAGAAACAACACAGACCCTCTGCATCACCAAAGCTCTCTTTGGTCTCTACCGCAACCACCCGTACCATACAAACTACTATGAACAACTATTTCAATTAATTTCTCAGCCAAAACAACACCCTGGTTGCCCTTCCATGAAACCTCCTAGGAGGGAAGTGCCGCCCCTTGGAGCAGCTAGAAGCATACTTTCCAACAAAAGTTATGGTTCCGGCCACCCAAGTGCCCCTTCTAGTTCACAAGGTAAAATATAATATTAAGATTTTTTTCTAAAGAAATCACTGAGCATTTAACATCAGCACTTTGTGGACAGAACATGAAACGCCTTGATGTCTGGGCAGCTACAACCTCTTCCACTACTGGTGATAACAAGAATGATGATGCTCCTGAGAGTACAGATGATGATGACAGTACCTCAAAAGCAGACCATTTTGAGGGTCCTATTGAGGATAAGTATTATCCTCATCACATCTACAAGACATTTTCTCCAAAACAAAAAGAAGAACACCAAGCCCTGAGGAAGCAATGTGATACTACCAATGAATGAAATTGAATATTTGGTTGCAACATTGCTATTGGTGACTGATGATGATAATGCTGATGTTGTTGATTCAGTACATCACCATTGTCAATAGCAGGGACAAGCATGCTGATAAATCCTATTTACAATGCCAATGCACTACACAGGCTTAGTGTTAGTGTTATCCAGCTACACAATTACACAGGTAAACATGATTACACAGTTTTTTATTATTCAGCTATACAATGCTGCTCCTACCGCTTCAAGCTAATTGGCATTATTCATTGTATGGAACACTGCTTCCGGGGACCGTATGGATGTTGCCTACTGTTTCCGGGGACAGTATGGAGGATGTCACTGTTTACAGTGACAGCCATGAAGCTATTAGTGCTGTGGATACATCTGCCGGTGCTGATTTAAGATGAATATTATTTATTTAGTGTATGCAACATTGTTTCCGGCAACCGGATTGAGTCAACGAGTCCGTGTATTTGATTGTTTGACCAAGCTGGATTTCATTACCACATGTTTTTTGCATGTTCAAACTGTGATTTCCCACTTGATCGATCAACTGGAACAACAATCTATCATCGTGTTCATGATGGTGATTATATCACACAGTTTTGGAAGCATTGGGGCGAGTTAACAGAATCAATGTTGCTCTATCAAGCCAGATTTCACCACTATGTGTTATTTGCACGTGTTTTGACTGTGCTTTCTCACTTGATCGAACAATCCAAATCATCAATAATGGGAGATGAATGATGTTATTTTTTGCTTCCATCCAAGTGTTATTCAAGAAGCTCAACCACCAGGGAACCTCATGAGTGTAAAGGTAGTAGTGAAGATGCTATTTGATTTCAAATCAATGCTGCGTCTGGGTGGAGACATTGATGATGGTGATGGTGATGGTGATGATATTATCACAACTTTTGATTCACAACACCAACCTTACCCATCAACGGCAAATGAAATACTGTTTCCGGGGACTGGATGAAGTTCACAAACAGTGCTTGTTTGTCAGATTAAGCTTGATTCCATCACCATGTGTTGCTTGATTGAACAATTTCTTGTCATGAATGACCAATCAAAGATGATTGTATCAACATATAAACCAAGAACAATAAAGAACTAAGGATGATGAAAGTTCCATGATGGTACACGCAATGAATTGTGACAATGAGAGTGTTATTGAAGATGTCACCAGGCTAGTTGCACCTGGCGCTTTGCAGGTTGCTAAGACTCTGGGGACTGAGAACACTGCTCATTTGTTCACTAAACTGAATGGTACTAATGCACATACTCTTCAAGAAACATCACAGGAGATGCATTCATCCATTCTAAAACACAATACGCTGGTATATTATGCTGTTAGCTGGCAAAAGGCCACTACAGTTAGAGCTAAAATAGCTCACCCCATACCTATAGCCAGGACTCTGATAGGGTACAAGCCAAAACCTCAAATGATTTGGTCTCATATCGATTGACTCAGTTGATTAAATTATACGCATCGGCTTGTGTCATATGTACTTGTATTGATTACAATTCATATGTATGGTTGATTCTTGTAAGTTTGATTGGTTTGATATTTGACTAAACCAAATAGATCTTTGCAGGGACTATAAAAATCACTCGTATGACATGATTGAATTGTACGATTGACTCATACGATTAAACTGGTACGTGGTAGGTGATATATTTTAGCATACATAGGTACCAATCCTACAAGTACACGGTGGTCACAACAAGGCTGTGGTTGTTTCCAGTACCGAATGACCCTGGAGAAGCCTCATAATGACCTTTTAACACAGTACACAGTCATAGTGCCTCATCACACTGATACAGTGTTGAGTTTGCAGGGGAAGCTTCCAACAGCGGTTGCGTTTACACACACTTCTTCTTTCTTTAAACTAATCTAAACACCCTTATCATGCCCAATCACCATGGTGTCACCCATATCTGCTGGTGCTAAGTCTTTAGTGTGTACTGTTTAAATGTGTTATCGATAGGGACACTACACTAACTGCACTATTGCACGTGTGATTTCTTTAATATGATATCCTGCTATGGACAGCACTACTAGTAGTACTACTAATATTCATCTTGTGGTTCTTGTTGTAGTAGACTACTACTACACTACTACTACTACTACTAGTACTAGACTATTGCCTGGTAGCGTGCCCGGCGTGGTAAAATAGTCAATGATGATCGTCCCAATACTGGTCCGGTAGGTCTTCAGGTTTTTGGGAACGATCCAATTCTACTGCTGCACTGTAAGGTGTCGTGTGAAAAAAATGGCCCGATCCCACTTGTTCATGCCAAGAATTCATCCGGGAATTAGATTTTACATGGAAGTTGTTACGTAATTTTGATCAACACTCGCCTAAAACTATTACGTTGGCAACCGTTCACGTCTCACCAACAAAATATCGAATTTAACGCTCATGCCCCCAACAAAACATCATGCAATTCGTTGAAGTAGGTTTTTTGTTTCGGACGAAAGCAGTGCATCATCATTTTTTTAGAATTGTTTTTGGCAGAACGAATTGGTTGAAGATTGTCATTTTGAGTTCACATACAACAACGAAGGAGACAACTTGGTACTACATCTTGACAAAGCGAAAGAGTCGACTTAAGATGGTATCTCCAATATCTTACGGATCATGCGCCTCTCAGTCTACAGTCATGATGATCGACTCTCATCTCGCCGTGGATCAATTGAAAACAATTCTGCAGATAGAAACCAAATATAGAATCCCTAATGCTTCCTGTCAGGAAGCCTCGAATGAACACAGAATTTATCCCTATAGTGAATGGAGGAGGAGAATCTGCCAATGGTCGTTCAAAGTAATCGATCACTTTAAAATCGACAGAGAGGTTGTAAGCAGAGCAATGAGTACACTAGATCGCTACTCGTACATTAAGACCAGCTATTCGAGAAATTGTTCCTTTAATGATACTTCGAAGGAAATAATTGATTCTCGAACATTTCAGCTCGTTGCAATGACTTCACTGTATCTCGCAATAAAATTATCCGACAACGACGAAGGCCAATATGCGTCGTGTAGAAAGCTCACACTAAATTCATTTGTAGAACTTTCTCGTGGTCAGTTTTGCTCAGAGGAAATATCTCAAATGGAATGGTAAGTAGACCCGTATGGTTCGCTACCCGACTTGTAGCTTTTGGAAAAACTGCGAGACTTTTGAGACGTTGTTCTGTACATCTCGATTCAACTCTTGTTATCTTACTTTCTGCTGTTCCTTTTGCGTCCATTGTACTGAAGTTCGATCCTTGATGAACTTCAATGGGAGGTCTTCCCACCTACCCCAATGACTTCGATGGCGTATTTGATGCGTATGATGCCTTCTCACGAGTCACTGCAATACACAGGTTGCAAAAGCTATAACTTAGTCCTTCATGTGCTTCACGAGCTGGCCCGCTACATAACCGAGCTCTCCGTTTGTCACAGTAACATATGCACTGGTTACACATCTTCTCAGGTTGCATATGCCTCTATTCTCCTTTCGATGGAACTTTTGACACCTGTTGCGCTACCTCTCCATATTAGAGATCAATTTAACACGGCCGTCGCTTTGGTTTCCCATCGTTCCGGAGGAACAATTCTATCGTCACAAGATGACAAGATTCTATATCTACAAGAACTTCTACGCAACTCTTTCTGGCCTGAGATTTTAGTTGAAGATTGTGAATACGGCGAAATTGGACATCCAATATCGATGGCCAAAGACTTCGGATTTATAGATATTCCTCACATCGTTTCCCCCCACCACACAATACCGACAATATCGTCAAATAATGGTACGGCGATGCATTGCCAAAGTTTGTCAGCATCTCTCGACAAGGAACCGGACCTACGAAGCTCCCCAATTTGTGTCAACCGACACTTTTAGTTTCATAGATTGAAAGATTACAAAAAATATAATAGATTACATCATAGAAATGAATATGAACACCCTCGTTCTCATCGTCATAGTGATGATGCCACGCAGTAATAGCACTCCAAATCTTATTCCTACTAGTACCCCCCCAAAAAATTTTGATATTATATTTAGCCTCGTGAACTAGAAGAGGTACTATATGGCCAGAATCATAGCTTTGGGTGTAAAGTATGTTCCTAGTTGCTCTGAGGGGCGGCACTTCCCTCTGAGGAGTTTTGGTGGAAGTGGGACCAGCGGTTTGTTTTGCTKGGTTTAAAAGAAGTGGGTCAACTTGGTCTGTAGTGAATGGGAAGGAGGTACAAAAGGAGCCAAGGAAGTATCTGGCACTGCAGGCTGTTTGTGACCTTTCTTTTTGGAGTAGGCGTCAAAGACCAGCAAATCTTGGATGACACTCAGCGGTGGCTGTTTACCATGAGGCAAAGGTGGGAAGCACTGAGCAAGAGGACATGTGTTGGAGGTTGATGCAAGCGAGGCCTTACTAACACTTGCAAGTATAGTCTTTTCATATACCTGGTGGTAATATGTGAGCAAGGAAGTAACGGCCCCTCCCCATCACAACTGCCCTCTGCTCAAAGTCCAACCCCACAGGTCACCTTTCAATATGCATTCTCAAAGTTGCAAGCACTGTCCTCCACGTGCTAGCCCTTACAGTGTACACCCACTGCTACAACAACACCCTCTGTCACTGCAAGACATCAGCCATCTGGTGTGACAACCTTGACACAGTCAACTGGACCGACCAATTCTGAACCTCCACGTGGCAGGCAAGCTCCTCTGTGCCTTAGCAGTACACACAAGGCAACAAGGAGCAGCACTGCTGGACCTCCACCTCATACTAGGCAAAAAGAATGTTATGGCAGACTCCACCTTGTGCCCACACTCTACTAATCCCAAACATTTCCTTTTCCTCTTCTCTCACGAATTCCCTCCCCCACAGCACGGCTCCTGGACACTGTACCACTACCCCACCTCAACCGCCTCAAAGATGTTTTCCATTCATCAAATGACAAAGCAGTGGCAGCAATTACATGTACACTACGGTGCCTTTGGAACCTTTGGACCAACTGGGTGGCAACTCATTTCCCCTCCATTGGACCCTACCTCAATGTCCCCCGCCCCTTCCAAATCACAATGCTGTTTGCCTATGCCCACGAAGTATGGTCTGGAAGAGTCAACAGGTTTGTACCCAGACGGTCAAACATGCACTCAGGGCCATCACCATGACGCTCCAACTGGCAGGACAACAAAGCCCAATGGGACAACCACAAAAGGCCTACCCTAAAGCCCTTTAGCAACTTCTGGCTGACTATGGATGTAGCAACCTGCTGCCACAACTGCCCCTGGTGGTCCCACTTGCTCTCCTGCACTACCTCCTCCAGATGGGCAACAACTCACCATTCCCTAAAACCAAGGCCATTGGTAGCCACAGCAGCACCTGGAGGTCCCACTTGCCCTCCCACACTACCTCTTCCAATTAGGCAACAACTCGTTGTGCCCAAAAAACAAAGCCATTGGGGAAGCAGTGTCAATTGCCAGTATCACTGCACTGGCCTTTATTGCAACATTCCCATGATCTGCAACCACATTGCTCCAGTTGCTCACAGAGCCATGCAACTGCTTTACACTGCCAAACATTTCCGCCGGGCTTACTTTCCCTATGACCTCAGCTGTTTCCACCAATGGACCCAACTGATGAACAAATACCTTACCCTTGCCACTTGGTGCCTGGTGCCTGGGAAACAGCATAGAAAGTTTGAATAATTGACCACTTAGATCCTTACAATATCAGACCACATGGGTATGAACATGATATGGCACCACAGTGCCAAGAGGCCCAGAATGTCCCATGGCACCACCAGTCCAAGAGCAATATTGGAAGAAAGAAAGAAACAAGGCTACAATAACAACTCAGGCTAAGGGCAGTTAGGAACAACAGCACTTACCGGGACATTACAAGACGACACACTACCAGATACTTTAAGCTACTGGACCTGTGTAAGACTACGCAGGTACTTTTACTTGTACTTGTGTACATCCGATGCCCAGTACTGATCGTTATCATGTTCATCAGAATAATAGCCATTTCTACTAATAGGGGATTAAACGGTAGAAATAAAGTAGATCAAAGGTAGAAATAAAGTTGCTTTTTGGTAGCTTTAAAGCTACTTATAAGCTAGTTTAAAGTTACTTGAAAGTGGCTGTTCATTCTGTAGAATTCAGCGGATAGGAGTATAATTTCTAGTAAGTGGTAGGGGCAACCAGAAATTTACGTTTAATCTACTTTAAAGTAGCTTAAGAGCAGCTTTAGAGTAGCTTTTTAAGTCGATTTCCAGTAGGCAATAGTAGATTGCTTTGATTTGTTGTAGTAGAGGTGGGCACATGCAATTTTGTACTGGTATACTAAGTAGGAGATGAGCATAACTATTCTTTACTTAGTCAGAGTAGTCTTGGTTACAGTAGCTCAACTTTTCCTGTTGCGTGTTGCCAAATGTTGCCACCTGGAAAATTTTGTTTTTTTTTTCTTTTGTTGCTACTACTAGTACTACTACACTACTACTACTCTACTTATCACACCTCTCTCATCACCTTTGAACAATATTATAAGAATATATATTAACAAATAGAAATATATTCATTTATAACACATCACTACACTTGATGGTTGAAGTTACTCCAATGCTCTTTACATACAGCAACATTGCAACTTCTGCAACCATTCCTTGACATTTTATACTAACAAGTGTGAATCCATGGTGGTGGCAACTTCCTCAATCTCCTCACTGATGAGTTAGGATACCTATACTTTGCTTCTTCTACACACACAACACAATAGTTMCTCTTTAATTCTTCATACTTACCACTGYATCTTTCTTTATGATGTGGCTTTGACATTAGTGCCTTTCCATGAGCAATGGTGCTGGTGGTCTTCTTGTTCACACAGAAGAAACAAATCCCGCCCCGCAATTGCAAGGGTGATATTTTCGATTCTTTGAAGTCTGAGGCATCCACTCTGGCTTAGAAACTTCATCATATGGAGCTTTCCAGTCCATTTCAATACCTCTACTATTCATCAATGCAATGCCAAGATGAGATTGAAACTTGTTTGTTTTCCTACCGTTGTGTTTTGATTTGTATATTTTCTTCTTCCATTCCTTCATAAAGTTCTCACATGCTAGGCTAGTGACAATTATGTAGCAGGAGTGTACCACTCTATCAAGCAACCAGAAGAAAATACAAAGAATTATGTTTATTGGTAAGCTCTTCACCTGTGACATCATGTATAGACAGTAGAGAGCCCGACGTAGATCTGGAAGCTTGGACTTGGATGGATTCAAGGGACACCCAGCATACTTTTTGATGATCAGATATGGGTCCATGGTCATCCTGGGAGGGGCTCGTACTGTGAGGGTGCAGGCCACCACAACTGTTGTCAGATAGGTCTCCATCACTAGTAGTATGACCATAATATGAACAATTGTCAACCATCAGAATAATAATAATCATAATGTGTAGGATTTGTACTGCAGTCTACACAGGTGAAAATCATGGAAACTCCAAAAAAATTCTAAAAGAGCACGAATTTGGGCGGAGACGGGAAAAAGTTAAGGTAACGGGTAATGCGTCGTTTCGTAACGTCCCTGTAGTTGTAATTTTAGTTCGAACCCGTGATCGACCACTTTTCAAGTACGAGTACCACAAAAAAAGCGTTCACCTTGTAGACGAATGACGAAGTACAAACTTCTCAAAACGACATTTCTTGCTTTTTGCTAATCGCCTTCACGGTTTACACACTGCTGTAGTGGTTACTCATTTTGTCTCGGAGCTCCCGTTATCACCCTACACAGTTGGAAAATGCTGTCTTGTCGCATTTTAAGGAACTCTGATATTCCTCGCGGGAGTCTCAGGAAGCTTTGCGGCTTCAGAACAAATCCTAGTGGCAAGAACGTGGTAAAACAACACAATCTTTTGATGAAGAACACCACCGTCAAAACTCAAGTTCGCACTTCCATTATTTCCAGGAAAATCATTCACGGAGGGAAGGGTTTGGCATCTCAGCCAACTCCTGTAAAGAAAGAGTCTGCAATAACATTGGCCAGGATCGCATACGCAGTAAAACTTGCGCGACTTCCTTTCCTCTTAGTTGCAATTTCTACAATTGGCTATGAACGAGGAGGTGAGTTGTTATGATCATATCCCATCGCTTTGCGATGGGGTAATTTGGACGGGATCATGTTTGGTGTACTTAACAAGCCTTTGGTATTTCTCACTCGACCCGAAATTGGTACGTTCTACCAGCCACCGACGCAATACGAAATCCACTCAAATTGCAGCAAGGAAAGTTCGAGGCTCTACTAGACGAATTCGCGGTTGAATCAGAAGACGAAGTCACCATTATCACAGAGCGAGGTGTCCTATCTCGATTGGACACGCCATTAAGTTCACTGAAATCTGGGAAAGGTAACACGAAGCACCCGAGAGCCGAGAAGATTGCCTCGGTTGGAAAAGAAATTTTAGTATCGGCTAAGGCATATGTTAGAGCAAAGTTTGCAGAGGCTGTTGCCAAAGCAAAGGATGAAATCATGAAGGATGACGTTTATATTAAGGAACGAATGCTTGAAAGATTGCTTAATGAAGATCCTGAAGTAAAGAAATGGATAACGGCATTGGAGCACATCGAAGGAGCTTCTTTGCAGGGGATTGAAAACTGGTCATACGTGCTCATTTCAAGTCCTATTGTGAGTTTGTGTACTTCAATGTTGTGAAATTTATTTCAATACTTAGAAAGAAACTCACTCATAGTTTTAACTTCTTTGAAGCCAAACGCATTCGTTACAGAAATGCTTCCTCAAAAGATCTTCGTAACGACAGGTTTGTTTGATCAATACGTGAAGAATGATGATGAACTTGCAATGATTCTTGGACATGAAGTAAGCCATCTGATCCTTGGTCATATGTCCGCATCCTCGTTTTATGAGTCTGTAGTCCGCGGGGCAGAAATACTAATATTGATGTTGGATCCAACAGAAGGCCTTTTGTCGTTGGGTAAGCACGATTTGAGAAAGCATGTTCTAGATTTTTGGTCCAATTTGTTATTATTTCTAACCCTATTTTTTTGTTTTGTTTCGGATCAACTCGGTGGTAGGCCTAGCCAGCTTTTTGTCTAATAGCAGAGAAGCTGTCGTTGCGTCATTTTCTAGAGCACATGAAAGGGAGGCCGATGAACTTGGGTGTAGAATAGCGGCCATGGCGTGTTACGACACAAAGCGCGGAATAGAAGTTTTGCGAAAAATGCAAGAAAGAGAACATAACAGTGGAACTGCGTCTCAGCACAACCTAAAATCAAGCCATCCACCATCGAAAGAACGATATGATGATTTGCAAGCGTTGGTCGAGACACAAAACTTTTCTGAGTATAGCTACTGCAATACTCTTAGGCGACGGATCAATCGCGCTTTGCAACGAAAAGAGTACTAGTATGAAGTTGGACTCGGTAAGAATTGAGCAACTTTTTTTGCTTTCTTCTCATTTAACAACAAACTGCACATGATCGTTTGATATATAGTGTGCAAAAGATCTTTCATCCAATCTCTGGAAGTTTCATTACTTGGATTGCAATCTTTGAGTTTAAAAGTACTCAAGTTTCTCGTCATGTATTTTAATGAGAAGACCGATTTCGCCATGGATTTCCGATTTGACATTTTGTTATGTATTGCACAAAGCTGAATTGCACGGATGTTTTGAAAAAGTTAGTGCAGGTCATTTATTTCATTGAAACATGATGTACAAATAGAGCTCATCCACAGACTTTAGAATTCAATTTATTTCATGTTTCTATCGAGTTGAAAATCAGTACTGGTTTTGATCCCAGCAAGCTAGTGATGCTGTTAAAAATTGAAAACAATCAATTTTGTTTGTATGCCGGATATTTCTGTTTTAATCCTTGCAACTCTTCGGATTCTTCAAAACTATTTGGCACTTCGGTTGGAAAAGATCTTGATCGTTTAGTCTCAGGATCGCAAATCATACTTGGACCATTAAATTCAAGTAAACCCATTACTAAACCAGTTCCGATTGCAGTTGTTGTTKCAATATCAAATCGTCGAGTAACAAATCCACCGAGCACCAAACCGGCAGCAGCACCCGCCATACTCGCATTCCACGGGTCTTTTGAGGTTGTGCCTCTAACTTCGGAGAGGAAGGATTCGGCGCCAGCATACGTCACAGTTACTGCACTGAAGATCAGTGCAGGTCGGAATACTACGTGTTTGAGGTATGCCATTCCGCGTGCAGGTCCGCTGCTGATACTTCCCTTCTGGGCGAAAATAAATTTATCGGGATAGTATGCCATTTGAAAGGCACCGAAGGCCGTACCTGCAGTAAAACCTTGAGCCTATAAAAAGAGAGAGAGGTCGATTTTTCCCACAAGCTGAGTCGTTAGGATCGGGAGTGATTATCCAAAATACTTCTTTCCACCAACAATGTACCACGCACGATTCTATCGGATGATACTTACTGCTGCATAGAAAACTTTCGTGCTGAAAGGTTTCAAACCGTTGTCCTTACCCAACGCAGCCTGCGCCTCGCGGTGAGGCCAAAATGAGCCAGCAGATGACTCTGACATATCTGACAAAGAAGGAAATCAATAGGAAGAGTTTGTTCTATTACAGCCTGGAGATACCGGTGTAAATGATCATCTTCGCATCAATGTCAATACGATGCGATACAAGTAAGTTACGGCATCGTGCTTCATCTACCGTACTCTACAGCCCGGTACCTATGTTCGATGTTTCCCTTTTGCTGTTACGCTACGAGTACCAATTACTACGGTACGAACCGTACGAGTACGGCACTGTCCTGCAACTTTACAAACGAGGAAGAGGACGAACGGTACGGGTACCGTGCGTTGCGTACATATCCAGCTAGACCGTCCCACGGTTACGCACATACTTGTCGAGTACCGGTAGGTACGTACCCACTGCAAATATCGAATCCGGTTTGTTGTACTTCGTACAGTGAGTACGAGTAAGGTATGTACCACACCGGTAGGGTAGTACGAGTTTATCGTTGATCGCTACTTGGCCTGGAGCGTTTTAGAAGTACCGGCCGGTACAGGTAGGGAACAAGTAACGAGTGTTCAAATGAGCATTTTGGAACATTCATCTCTGTTGCGTTGTAGCTTACGTACGTACGTACGGTAAAAATGGGTCATTCCCGTCACGAGTTACGATAATACAGTACTTCTGACAGACAGACAGACAGAAAGACCAAAAAGAGATGATCTAGACGATTAGTTTTAAATTGTTTACCAGGGGTCAATTCACCCTTGACAGACAATCTAAATCTAGTAGTCTGGAATCAAAGAATGAAAATATATTGAATAACTCAACAGAAAATGCTTGCCACCAAATTTAAGACTGCTGAATGAATTTACTACTAATAGAAAATTGTCCCTCTCTCATGGTACCAATTGTCCCTCCTCCCTTACTACTAATGAGGCGCCCCCAGCGCCATCATAAAGAGAGTTTGACTATCATAGTTGCTAATATATATCTCCATTGAAACAAAGAGAGTTACAGCTGGAGGCACCATACCCAGAGACAGGAGGCATACCTCTCACAATATTGTTTGTTATTCCAACAAAGAAGGCCAGCAACAACACATTGCCTCCAGGAGGGCAAGCAAAAGAAGTAGTAGGCAAGTTGGGTCATAAGGCCAGTACTGCAAACTACTCAGAAGAGGAGCTTGTTTCATTGATATCCCTTATCAAGGAGATCCTGCCCATTGGTAAAGGTGACTGGTGACTCATGGTGGTTCACACCAGACATGGACAGAGCTATCCCTACTAGTATGGTGGTAGTAGAACAATTCCATTAGGAACAAATTCAATTGCTTGAGGCAACAGAAGGTGCCTACTGGAAATTCTATTGTGCTAGAGTCTCTCAAGCTTGCAAGAGAGCCTCATTGCTTGGTTGGTATCAAGAAAGAACATCTTCTTGGAACTGGAAAGGAGCATTTTGATCCACCGAAAGGTTGCATCAATGATGATGCTGTTGAGGTCTTGGAGGAGGGTGGATCTTCAAGGAACACAGAGTCCACCTGCTTGTCCAAGTCTTCTGACAACGCCGATGCCAACATTGAGGATGCTGTTCCTATCCTGACCAACAATCCCAAAAAGAGATCTTATGGCAGGCTGAAGAAGGAAATCTCTGAGCATGAAGCTGTTCTGAAACAGTATCTCTTGCAGCAGGAAAAGAGAGAGGCACGAAGAGAAAAGAAAGATGATTTAAGGGAGCAGACAAGGGCTGAGAAAGCTGAGGAGAATAACCAGTGACTTGCCTTAGCTCAAACAATTGCATCAACCATGACAATGGCGCTTGTCAGGAGCATGGTCAATATCAACAAACATCAATGCACTGATGGTGCATCTCATGGTGATAGCAATTAATTATTACAATTTGCAAATACAATTTTATTTCATATGGAGAGAAGCCATACTAGTTGTGTATAGGAATAAGCTTGCTTACAGAAGGAACAATGAGCAAGCTACACAACAGCCCTATCTAAAGTCTTTTATTTGTTGCATGATTACACACCAGCATGTTGTTCCAGTACAATATATGGTACAGATACTTAAAAACCCAATACTCCTACTACAGCAACTAAACACAATGGTGTGCATGAGTTTGCTCTTGGCTCCAGTACTATTGTCTTCAGAAATCAATTCCTTGTTAAAACACCATTATTGAAAATAAAGTTTCTTAATCAAATATATAAAAGAGACAGTGTGAGTCTTCTGTGAATAGGAAGCAACAGGAAGCGTAGTTTCTGTGTTGTTCTTCTGTTGGTTCATTGTGTTATTGCTGTTCTCCTTGAATTGTTTTGCTGTGTCATTTGGTTTTGTTGTTGTGTTGTTTCAATATCCTATCAACTAACCAATTGTTTTTATCTGAAACTAAACTAACCATTCTAGCAGTAGACAACTCATCAAGAAGCCTCAACAAGAAATCAACCCTGGGATTCATTCAAAGAATGCATTATTTGCAATTGGATATAATTCCCTTCCTGGTTGGAAGTACCCTGAAGCAAAACTCTCAAGGTGGTGGCACATCCCAATGTCCTTGTGTCTTGCTGTTTAGGTGGTGAGGTCTCCGGTGGCACCAACAAACATTTCGCCTCAGTGAGTAGTACATAGTCAGGGAGATCCGCACCCTCATCCAGAACTGGAAGATTGGGCCTAATTGTGGTTGTATGAGCAGGTGCTGGTGGGGAATCTGGAGGCTGTGGTGCCACTGACCACTACAAGACAAATGATACCAACTTTGTTTTTGAATTAGTATGGTGCTTTTAGACATTCCAGCAGCATCAATTCCCCTAAGAAGCCTCCTGCTGGTGAAAAAGAAATGATCTGAAGGTTGGCAAGGGGGAACCTCAAGCTTGGAAGATGCAAATAATCCCTCCTGGAATGCAGCATAATTGTTCACACCCAAGTTCAATATCACCAGGAGTGGCATTTTGAAGGAGCACTAGAAACCCTCTGCTGAGGAGTAGATACATGCCGCTTTGTCTATCAAATGAGAGTAGGACACAGTTCATATAACTAATTCCTATTAGTACTACTAGTCATGGTATTAGTATTAGTACTGCAAATACCAGGAAAAAGACTTTCACAGCATTGAGTGGGATAGTGGTACGGCTGATCCAGATTGTAGCCTTGTTAGACAGTAGTAGTATGCTACTAGTAGAGATGATGTATTCCCATAGGAAAGGGAGGGCAAGAAGCTAGACATATTGGAGCTTCAGAAACACCAACATGGGCTGACCAACAATTAAAGAATACTAGTATTACATCATAGTGACACTTGGTTCTCCACTCCCTTGCTACTATTGTTTATGATATCTATTGATTGCACATATGGTAGTAGTAACCTGGGGAAATAAAAAAGCCTACCATAGATACTGACTTGTTGAGATTATATTCAGAGGTACCTTTCAACAAATGTCAAAGTACAATACAATAGATGGGACTTACAGTTATCATTCAAAGTTGAGGGTGTACACATGGTAAATATCTTTTGGATTTATACTACTACTAGTACCCATCTCATAGAGTTGGCAAACCAATGTACAAACCAGTCATACATTTTAGGCCCCTATTTTTATGTGTAAACTAAATACATACAAAATGCACGTGCTCAGTACTTGTACTGGTACTCAAATTTTTGAATCCCACCAGTCGTGCAACCAAAAAAGTTTCGCTTGCACATGCATGCTGTAGGCCTAGTACAAGTTAAATTTTAATCACATGAGTCATTACACGGTAATTTGATGACCCAAAATTGACACAAGTAGAATAACATTTGCACATTTAGAACATTAAGAGAGGTTCAACTCACTCAAACAGCTATAACTTTGTTCTCCCCCCCTGCAATGGATACGTACGTACTGGAAAGGATACGTACGATACAAAGCTTTGAAGAAAGGAATGAAGGAGCATAC